TTCAGAACTCAGCTGGAAATACTGGATTAGCACTCGGGAGAGGCTGGAATAGGAGGGAAGACTCTTGAGGTATTGGTGTAAGTGGAAGCTGAGGTCCCAGGAGCGAATGCAGTTTGTCCAGAGAGCATGCCGAACAGAAAGCGGCCAACAGTAGGCACTGTCATTTCCTGGCAAAAGTCCTGGAGGCTACCCTCAGGTAGTAGGGCTCTGGCCAAACTGCTTCCCCTCTCTGAGCTTCAGTTCTGCAAAAGCAGAGGGTCACCCTAGATCTCTAAGGCCCTTCTCCTCGAGTATTCAACCACCCATGGTTAATGGGGTATCTGCTCGGGCAAGAAGGATGCTCAGTGCTGAGCAGACACCCAGCATGACAAGTGAGTGCCTGACTTTCCAGTGAGACAGACAGACACATAAATAAATCATCTCAATATGCTGTGATTAACAGCTATCATAAAGGCAAGAACGAAATGCAGCATGAAGGAGTCCTTAGTGGAAGTGCCTGTCAGGGGAAATTGTGGCGTGGGCTGCAGAGATGAAATTTGATCTTGGTCTTGAAGAACTAAGAGACCTTCCCAAACAGAGCCAAAAACCCGAGTAAGGCCCGAGTAAGTGAATGCGCATGAAATATCTGGGGAATGGATTGCTCAGTGAGCTTGAGTGGAGAAGAGGTTGATGGGGCTTCGAAGAGGAGGGTGAGACCAAGCTGGCCTGCTAAGGGGTGTAGCCTATGACAGAACAGATAACGAGAAACTCGGGGTGGGGGGATTCGAATATTGGAACAACATAACTTGAGAGCTGTTTTGGAGAGCTGAGTGGACAAGAAAGGACCACAATATACTAGTAGCAGCTGGAATTCACAAACGCTTCTCTCTCATCATGATTTGACGTCAGATGACCTTATAAGGCTTTTCTTCAACACGTAAAATTTTTAAGAACGTTTTTTTTAATAGTGGCATAAATATAATGGTACGTTACAACACAAATGCGGCTAATTTTTCATAGCATCATTCAGAAAAAAAAGGGGGCCAGATTCAAGAGAGAGGTTAGGGGCATCTCGATCTGGAGCAAACCATTTCCAATCACTTGGGAACCAGACTCAAGATCCTCAGGCTTCCTGGGAAGGTCTGAGTTACTCCTAGGACTTGGAAGGAAATGATGACAGAACCAGACACCTGGAACTTTGTCTTTCGCCAAATCGGATCTGGGCTGTTCAAATGCTAACATCACTCTTTCTCTATGATCTATCCACTTGATTCTTGTTCGCAATTCAAGACTTCGATTATGTTCAAGGCAAGTCTGGATCTCTTGATTTCTTCTCTACAAAATCCAACCTCCCGATCAATACTTTTCAACCTTGGAGCCTTCTTCTTCTCTTGCTGCCATGGAGGTGCTTACATCCCCCTCTGATCCTCCAACCTCAGGCTTTTCTTGGCACCTACTGTACTTTCAAAATCTCTCTCGGCTTTGTTCTCCCCCTCCAGAGAGTCCAAGAACATTGCCAACAAGTTCATCTTCCTTTTCAATCACTATTTACTTCTTGCTTCTTGAACTTGTGTGAAGAAAATACAAGGCAGAATGGAGGTGAAAGAGCAGAGGGTAATGTCTGCGAGAGACGCAGATGTTAGGTGCCATGAGGTGGCTTCGTCCCCGGGGCCTCCGAGTGCCCGAATGCCCTCTGGGTCCCCAAGACACTATTCTGTGTTCCCTCCTCTCCTCCAACATCCTCTTGCCCTGGTTCACTTTTTACCTCGTGCACTCCCACTCACTGCCTGAGTCTACGTTTGAGACCCCTCAAAAACCACACTGGCATTAACCCACAGTACGGATCCTCTTGCCCTGGTTCACTTTTTACCTCGTGCACTTCCACTCACTGCCTGAGTCTTTACGTTTGAGACTCCTCAAAACCACACTGGCATTAACCCACAGTACGGGCCCCTCCCGGAGCCCTTAAAAGTGCCTTCGGAGCCAAATGCTTCCGCTGTCACGTTTCTGCAAGAGCGGATCCCTCCACCCTCCCACCGCCTGAACTTGCCTGACTAGGCTGCTTCATTTCCCTTCTGCAGCTCGGGCTTCAGAACAGATGACAGTTTTTAGAGCCTACCTTACTTTTGTTCCCTTCATTGTTTCTGCCAGGCCACAGCTAGTATCTCAACATGGCCTTTTAACTGGTGATCAAGTAAACAATGGCAAAGATGGCTGTGGGTTTGACAAGTCTAAAGAAAATGGAAACACATGTGGAACATCAAACATGTCTTATTCGGTGAAAGGGTTCAGCTCACCCTTAATGTATATGGATAAACATTCTCTTCACATTGAGCAGACAAATCCAAATATGGAAACTCTGCTCGCTACCATGTCTGTAAGAGGCAGAGGCCCTGTTGCCCTGGTTTCCTCAGAGAGATTTTTGAGACAGAAGACATGTTCTAGAAACTCAGATTCGAACCATGAAAAGCAGCATTTATCATCCTGCTCGTCTGTCCTTCCTCATCCTACAAATGCCAAACTGGATAAGATGCATTATTCAATGACTTGAAACCTCTCAGGGCTCCATTTGGGTTTCCTATACCCACTTAAGGCACAAAGGCACTGTCAGAGGTCAAAGCTCATTAGTGCTGGAACCTAAATCCAATGCCCTTGAGATATAAAATGTAACTCTAGACAAGGCCTTCTTGGCTCTGATTAATTCATTATGACTTCTGGGCTCTCGAACCCCAAGTCTCAAAAACTCAGCATCACATTTGCTATGAAAAGACACCTGGCTGAGGGAGGGGTCCAAAAAAATGAACGAGTGAAACTTGCTCTGTGCAGAAGAATTTCCAACCCTCGTCAAAGAAATTCAGACAAACCAGCGGTATCCAAGAATGACCCAGCCCTTCGAGCATAGAATGAATGCAAGGATTGAAAAAGGCCACACAAGGATACAGTGGAGGCATTCTGGAGGTGACCTCAATCTTTCCTCAGAACCATGGACTGTTAAGACTGGAGATCATTTACTCCAATGGCCTCATTATACCAAGTAAAGAGAGACCCGGAGAGGGAAAATGAGTCTGTTAAAGCCCCATAGCTCATAGCAGTTCCGAAATGAAAACCCAAACGGCCCTTCTTCCTTGCCTGCTTTTTGCTCACTGTCCACGGAGAGGTTCATATCCTTCCAGGCATGAGAAGTAGCGCTTCCACGGGGCAGGCAGCAGACAAGAGGCACTGTCCCTCAAAAATACTAGAAAGGCCAAGTTTACGTCTGGTATCCCATCTGCCACATCCCATCCTAGTTCCTACAGACCTGCTCCCATGAGAACCCAGATGGTCACATACACTTGTCTGTATATCTCTTCTCACTGCTTGGGCCACTGTCCTGGTTGAGCCAAGGGGACAGAGAGCGTTAGTAGAGATTTGGAGTGGAAATTTGGGGCATTCTTAAGGATAATGTTTGAATAACTGATACTAAACTTGTACCCTTATACCAAAAGACAGAATAATGTGCAGGAGTGCTTTTCGAGCTTCAGGAGCATTATGAAGCACTCAACCCTGGGATCTTCTTAAAATGTAAATTCTGATTCAGTAAGTTTGGGATAGAGCTGGGATTTCACGTTGCTGACCACATCCCAGGTGACTCCATGCTGCTGTTCTGAGGTCCTCACTCTGAGCAGCAAAGGGCAGATTTTACAAAATCTTGAAATCAAACATCCGGGTGTAAATTCTGATTCCAGCATTTAAGAACTTTGTGATTTGGGGACTGGTTTCCTAACTTCACACTGCCTCAACTGCCTCACCTGTAGAATGGAAATAAGAATATCTAAGAAGCACTTGATGACGGTTACATGAGTCACTGATGTAAAGCTTTTAACACGGTGCCTGGCATACAATAAGGGCTTGATAAACGTCAGTCACTGGCAGTGTCTAAAATTCATAAGGGCAGGGACAACATCTGTCTGGCTACCTGCCAAAATCTTGACGGCTAAAACACAGTAGGTGCTCAATGGATGTTTGTGAATGAATAAATGTATGTATAATACACGCACAGATCAGTATTTACACCCTCCCTTGGTTCTATGACTTTCTGCAGGAAAACAAAACATTTAGAACACTGGAACTCTCTAACCAGTAACGAACCATCACCTCATAGAATCAAATTCAACATTAACCACCATGTTTAACCACTGAGAAACATATAATTTGTGATGGCTACATACACTTGAGAAAATGTCTTCACTGTAAACCATTAAAGACAACATCAGTCTGGAAACTGTATGTCATTAAGACAGATGACTGCCTTACTCATTATTCACATGGCTGTCTGAACGCAGAGGTAAAAAACTTAATCCTAAAACTAAGTTCACTTCTAAACCAAACGCGGAATTGCAGAGAGAGACAAAATCAACCATGGGAAGTGAGACTACTTTTTGAAGGGCTACCAGGGCAGGAATATACTCTCTTACATATATATGCACACACTTGCTCAGAAAAGAATTAGAGACAAAAGAACCGTTAACAAATGGTAGAGCTTAATCTTTTACATCAAAGGCAGACAAGTGAGCAAATACAAAATTCTTCGACAATCTAAGGTTATCTTCAGACGTCTCGTAAAGTAAGTGGCATCATTTAAACAGATCCCATTTCAGGGAGGCACTGTGTATGGTATGTAGCAAGAAGGGAATACGATTGCCACCTACAGACAGAATTGGCACTCCCTTTGCAAGAGTTGGCCAATCATATTTTAATGTGAAAAAAAAAAAATTCAACCGAGTCTCCTCCCTCCAACCTCTTCCCTCCAATCTCTTCAAACCACCACCACACCACACTGCTTCATTTAGAATTACTTTCAAGTCATACAATCATCTCTAGGCATTCTGCCTCTTCATTATCATCATCCTATTTCTAATTTCCCAGAAACACTGCGCCATTCAACTACCTACTTATACTGTGTTTGAGAGCCAAAGAGAATGCAAGCAAACGGATTTCAAGCAGGCAAAGGAACCAGAGTGGAAAAGTATAAATCTGCTTACCTGGTATGAAGGGGACCACCCGGAATATATCAGACAATCTGCTGTTAACTGGTTCATATGGGGAATCTTCGAGCAGATCATTTCCTAAAAATGACAGAAAGATTGGCTCAGAGCTGGAAAACAGACAAACTTCAGGCAGTGTTTGTTACTGAATCTGAATTCTCATTATGTTAAGATTGTGTCACAAAAAGATGCTGAAACCTCCAAAGACTTCAAATGCATTGATTTGGCGATGCTTATTTCTTTTCATTCCCTCTGGCCCTGTTGTCCTTGCTCTCCACAGAGTACCATGAAAACACTGGAGAGCAACTTAGCCTGATCTGGCCAGAAAACTCTCCCACTTTTGCAAAGGAATGAAATCAGAGAGGAAGAAACCAGTGACATCACAAGCCCCGCTTGTCTCCAAGAGCCAATGGGAAAAAAAGGTGACTCAAAATAGGCCCCCATTTCTTTGCTCCTGAAACACCGCATGTGGTCAGAAAACAGGTTCCCTGGCTATTAAACAGTCTTTGAAATAGGTTTTCATTAATAGGTTCTGGAGGAAGCGGCGGCTGAGAAATCAAATCTGTATATTAACAATCTTTTGGTGTGAGTCCCAGTGGACAATGAATACACTGGATGTTTGTGTTAAATTTACATACACAAGCTGCCTCTGTCATACAAGGACCAAAAAACTGCCATTGGAATGGATGCTTGTGACAAGTGGACCTTTCCCTCTCTGAGCCACTTCTACATTAACCAAGGTTGAACCACATCAGCTGGTTCAAGACTCAGCTAATCCAAGACGACAAATCGTTTTTCCCACATCTGACTTTAATCAGGTTTGAGGGGGTTAAAGATAGATTAGAACCTCCTGGACCTTTTATGCTTAATTCTTTATCTTATGTCAGAATAGATAGAAGGGAAGAATAAAGAGAAAAACTCCAGGCAAAATGCAGTGCAAGTCTTTGTATTATTATCCCATGAAGCCAGCTCTCCTTAGAGAGAAGTTGTGGTTCCTTGAGTGGCCTTTAATGGGTTCCTACTAGATGCTCTGACCAGGTTTCAAAGAGATCAGCGAGGTCCCCGGGGTGTCCCCCTCACCTCCTCACAGGTTTTCCAACAACCAGGCCCCAACAATGCTGCTGGGGAGGCAGCAAACACCAGCTGCCGCTGTCCCTGGGGGTCAATGAAAGGTCCTCATCCTGCAGCTGGGGAGAAGTGAGTGGAGCATGAGGTCAGCCAGACCGGGGGCCGAGGAGCCCCCCTGCTTCAGCGGGGGTGGCAGGGCGGGAGGACCACGGGCTGGGGGAGGGGAGGAGAGAGGGGGAGGACGCCGGGCGCGTACCCTGCAGGCTCTGGTACATGCTCCAGTAGATGCGCAGGCAGTTCTTCTCCTTCTTCATTCCCCGCTTGCAGCGGCAGTTGTAGAGCGACTTCTGTTTGAGCGCCTCCATGGCGCTGCGGCACTCGTCCTTGGCTTCCAGGCCGGATGTCAGGCTGAAGTTGGTCTCCTTGCCGGCCACGCACTGCCTCAGCGTGCGGTACTTGGTGCTGCAGCTCTGCTCCTTCAGGCACTGATCGCTGGCTTTCACACAATCCAGGCGGTCCCCGCCGCTCACCTCCGCGGACAGGAGCACGTCTGCGGACGGAGGGGAGGGCGTGTGAGGGTGGCTGGGCAGGGGCCGGACGCCTCAACCCCGCGGGAGGGTGCGTGCATGACCAGGCTTCCGCGGCGCCCCGCGCCGGGAGCGGGCCCGCCCCTCTACGCCCAGAGTCCATTTTCCCTCCTGGGGACCTCCTGCCTCTTGGGTCTCCCCCGCCACCCCACGCTCCAGGGTCCCCGAGGCTTTGCGGGCTTTCTGCGGTTTGCCAGAAAGCCAAGCGCTGCCTCCGGGCAGAGCTGCGGGAGCCCCAGGCCCTCGCCGCACAATCGGCCCGGCCGGCTTCCCGCAGAGGAGAGCGGCGGCGGGCTGGGCGGGCGAGCCCCGGTCCAGTGGGGGAGCACCGAGGCGCTATTCCGGGAAAAGTTTTCCCTTCGAAGTTTGTATCCTGGTCCAATACGCGCCCACACCCCACCTGCCCCGCGCATCTCCACAAGCTCCCCGGGATTCGCACCCGGCGCTGAGTGCCGAGCTGGAGTGCTCGGACCCCATGCACTCGCCCCCAGGCTAGGTCATTAAAAACCACAGAAAATCCAAAACAAGCACGAAACGCTGCGGGCCACTGCGCCCGGCCACTGCCTCCCTAGGCCAGGGTGCAGAAGATTCATGATCCCCTTCTCCAAATCAAAACTTCGCCTTCCCACACCCACCGCACCCGCGCCTCAATTTGGGGTGAGCTGCCGTGAGGACCCCTCGGGAAGACTCAGCCGATAAGAAAGCTAGCGGCAGCCTCGACTTACCCAGAAGCGGCAGCGCGAAGTACAGAGTCGCCAGGAACATGGTGCCGGCGCGCAGCTGGTCCCCACCCCCCCCAAAATCCCGAGCCGCTCCTGGGTCTCTCCTAAGGAGCTCAGCGTGCAGCGATCCCCGAACGGCCTTGCTGCTCTAACCGCCCAAAGTTCAGCTCCATCCAGTGCCGTAGGAAACTCGCGGTCCGTCTGCCGCCACCGCCGCGGGCGACTTAGCTCGGGGCAGGCTGCTGGCGCGAGGGCGGGAGGCGGGTCCGCTTTTAGGGGTTCAGGTCCGACCCAACCTGGAAGGGAGAGTGCGCTTTGAAATGAGAACCGAGAGCGCTGGGGCCTCCCCCACCCCTCGGCCCCTCTGCCCTCCCCTGCTCCCGCCTTGGAGGACTTTCCAGAGCCCGGGTGAGGGCCCACCCCCTACCCGTGTCTGGGTGCGGGGAGGGGGCGCGGGGGATGCGTGCGCGTGTATTCCTGGGAGCTGCCCACACCGGCAGATGGGGGGCCGGAGAGGTCGGACGCGGGCTCCCAAAGTCCGAAGGGGTGTCTATCGCATCCAACCCAAGAGGCTGAACGCCAGCAAATAAATAAATAACGTTACTTTCCAAGCGCTGCGAGCGGAGCCTGCCGCCGCCCGTGGTCCAAGCAGTCGGCGGCGGCGGATCTCTCGCCAGCTCTGGCGCGGAACGAGCCCCTTCTCCCGGGAACTTCGCTGCCCCCTCTGCGCGCCAGCTCGCTGGCTCCGCCGCCCGCCCTCCCCGCCCGAACCACCAATCGCTGCCCCCCATCGCCGTATTCCCTCCTCCCCGGCTCTCCTTCTTTCAGAGGTTGCCGGACTAGAGGAAACCGACGTCCGGGCTGGAGCCGAGACCCGGGTAGCGAGCCCCTACCCGCGGCGCGTCCTCGGCTCGCTCCCCAGCGTCCGCGCCGCGCACACACTACCCCAGCACCCCGGACTCCGGCGCGTCAACGCCGCCGCCCTGGGCGAGCGCACCCGGCCGCAGCCCCGGAGCGCCAGGGCAGGTGTAGACCCACGCTGCGCGCGCCCACTGATCCCAAAGTTGAGGGGCACCTGCAAGAGGGGAAGAGGGAAAGTGGGGGAGCGGCGATGGCTTCTTAAACCGACAGAATAAAAAACTCCAGATGCCACCCACCTGGACTCAAACCGACCGTATCCGGCTGCAGTGAGAAGCCAGACTGTTTAAATTTATTTTAGGGGGTGTCTCTCTCTTCCCTTTCCGGGCTCGCTTCTCTGCTCTAGGAAGAAAGATGCGGTAATCTTCGAGAACCCAGAGGACCTAGTTGGTCCAGGACGATTCCCGAGCAGAGCCCCCTAGGGCTCAGATGCCGGTTAGGGATGTTAGTGGTTATTGGGAGCTGTGCGAAGGATAGCGGGTTCCAGGGCCAGATTTCTTTGCCAAGGGACCCTCTGGAGCGCAGCACACCCTCCGATACTCGCCCGCAGGGACGCCGCAGATGAACCCGCTCGCCTGCGGTGGGACGCGGGGACGGACCCAGCACGCGCGCACAGGACAGGCAGCGCTAAGCAGCCGGCTGCGAACGCTGCCAGTGTGTGTGTGTGTCCGTCCGTGTGTGTCTGTGTGTCTCTGTCTCTGTCTCTGTCTCCCCCCGTGTGTGTGTGTCCGTGTGTGTGTGTCCGTGTGTGTCCGTGTGTGTCTGTGTGTCTCTGTCTCTGTCTCCCCCGCTCCCAAATACACACGCCCAGGCACCATACACGAGGACTCTTTCTTACACCCTAGTGCTATCACACCAGACCCTTCTTCCGAAGACAAAGTTTTTCTCCACGTCATTCGTGTCTGTGACTCAAGACTTGGCGCGATAAAGACACGCTCAGACCCAGGCCCTCGGAGCAGCGATCGCGGGGTGCGCCCAGCCACTCATCCACGCCAACGCGCATACGCTCACACTCACACACAGTCTCACAGAGTCTCTACCTCTCTCCTTGAGCTTGAGCAAGGAGACAAAAGCGGAACCCCTGGCCCACCGCATTTAAACCGCGTCAGACCTGGCTTTGGGAAATTTATAAGCTGACCTCCATTTTGGCTGTTTCAAGAGTAAATTTTAAAATAATACATTTAGAAGACCAACATATACAGAGGACTTCATCCCAATCTCTAGGGCCACTCGTTCTCAGACAAGCTGCTGACCCCTCCACCCCTCACCCACCCCTCCCGGCACGCCCGGGGGCGCTCTGGGCACCTAAGTCTGCACTGGGTCTAGAGAGGTGTCTGGGGAACAACAGCCCGCAGTAGGGGATGGCCGTCAGGCTTTCAAGGCTTGTATTCGGGGACCTTGGTGATATCCAAGTTCATCTTCCAGGGAAACCGAGTTTGAATCAAGTCTGGGTGAACCCAGCTGTCAAATCTGCAAACCCATCATACCAGACAATAGGCTGCGGAGGAGAGAAAAGAAACGCTCATTTTGATCGAGGGGGGTTAATTGAAAAGGGCATGGGCTTTGGTTGAAGTTTGAGGCCCGGGTGTAAGGGCGGAGAGAAGAGGGGGAGAAAAGAGAAGGAGGAGGGGTGGGTAGCTCTCCATTCAACTACACATCAGCCAGGCGCGCCCCTCGGCTGCCGCGGCTGCTCCAATGCGTGCAGCACATTGTTTGGACAGTGTCTGCGCCTCCGTGCGCGCCCCAAACCCGGGAACATCCCGCGGATCTGCGCTCCTGTGCACGTGTTCCTCCGGGGCAGGTACAAGGGGATTAATTCCCTCATCAAGCACCCCCACTCAACACACACACACACACACACCCACACTCTCTCTCACACACACACACACACACACACACATCCCATACACGGATTTCTTGTTCGGTGTATCAGTTTACACTGGGTTGTTGAGTAAACAAAGCAAACATATGTCACATTTTTGCGACAGATGGTTCAAACCAAGGGCTACTTAAGTTCTCTTTCTAGCAGTGGTAACAATCTAAGTTACAGGGTAGACTAAGCAAGAATGTAATTAAATTTTCCAATCAGTTTCTTCATCTTGAGGAAGTTTATCTCCAGATTTTCACACACAAACCAGAGAAATCCTGGGGAGGTGGTTTTAGTGAAAGAAGTGCCAAATTAAAAGTTTATCTGAAAACTGATTTTCTCCATAGACACCCAAAATATAAAACTCTCTTTCATCATTCCATTTTATAAATGGAGATGAATGTCTCTCTTTGGAAAATCAGTAATTGGCATTCCTATTTTCAATGGCTAGACTAGTGCCTACGGTTGCTGATCATGTGGGATGGCTGGATGACAATAAGATTTTATTTAAGGACATCATCCACATCTTTCATAAGTGTTCTTTGTTTCAAAATGACTCTGTTACCCTCATATTCCACAGGCATCTGTTTAATCAAAATTTAATTAGGTGGAGAAGGATGGAATTAAAGTTCTCCCAATGTAAAATATGGGACTTCTTTTTAAAATATTTATAGATTTAAAAATATTTTAGAACAATTCATACACACTAGTCCTCATTAAGTTCTTACTGATGATGACAACAGAGCTTTAAAAAAATAAAATAAAGATAAACCACCACCCTCTATAACGGTGTTGTCCAATACAATAGTCATTGGCCTTGTGGCTATTTCAACGAAAATTAATGCAAATTAAATAAAAGAAAAATGCAGTTTATCATATGCACATGTAGCGAATGGCTACCATATTGAACAACTAGACAGCACAGATATAGAACATTTCTATCCTCACAGAAAGTTCTATTGGACAGTGCTATCCTATAATGTTGATGTGAAACCGTGTGTATGTATAAAATTCTTAGAATAGTCTAATAGTGTAGGCATAAAGTAAGTGCTTTATAAGCAGCAGCAGTAGCAGTTCTGGTGTGATGATGATGATGATGATGATGATGATGATGATGATGATGATGATTTCTTAATCTCTTGAAGAAGTTGAATTCGTGAGGTTACAGCCCACTCTTGGTATATCCTCCGCTCAGAAGTAGATTGACAGGCAAAGAAGCCAAGGAAAGGTGAATGGATGTATCAAAAGCTGATGTCCCGAGGACATCAGACTTCTCTACCTTACCTTAAGACTTCTTGCAGTAGGATATAATAAAAATTCACTGCTTTACAACTATATCCACTGTCCTCTAAAAGTGAGAGAAACGCACGACTAGAAAGCTATTAGAATATGGAAGATAGAAATGCAGTGTGACTTACTGTATTAATATTATCTCTGCTTCCTTGGAGCTTATGTGTTCCCGTGTGTACAGGATTGATCTCAGGATAAAAGGTGACATCGAAATATCAAATATTATTAATAATTATAAAAATTCATGCCATCTTCTGTGACATGTTTTCTCAGTAAGAAATTGGTTTTAATGCTACAAAATTAGGTTCAATCCAGCCGTAAGCATGTGAAGTGAGCAATTTTCTTGCACTTCTTGATTTAAGTGTATTTTCATAAGTTAACAGATGAGTCATGGTGAGAATGACAGTTTTATTCCATGCAATATTTTGTCTCCTACTCTCATTGCCTTGGCCCCATAGAATAGAATGTAAAATACATTCATTTTGTAAAATTATACTGCTCAGAAATCACTCACATTTTTTTTTAACTCAAACTAGTTAATCAAAGTATATGACATTAGATAGTTTGGCAAGCTTACATCTCTAGTTACACAAAACTACTCACTATTACTTAAAAGTGCCATACATTTTTTTTCTGCTGCTACATCTTTGCCCACGCTGTTCCATCTGCCTAATATGTGCTTCATCCTGATATTTAAAGATCCAGCTCAGCTCTAACAAGCCACTAAGAATAGAAAGGACTTTTCTGTTCAGAAAGAGTCGTTCTCTGTAGTGGACTCTTATGGCTCTGTTGGAATCTTTATTACAGCTGTTGTAACATTGCATTAAGGTTACTTGCTATATCTGTCTCTTCAACTAGAATGTAAGTTCCTTGAAGACAGGAAATGTTCTATTTTTTTTTTTTTTTGCTTCCCCAACATTTAGACCGATGGGTGATACAGTCACCTCAATAAATGTATATCGATTGCC